GATGGATGGATGGATGGATGGATGGATGTTACATGTCTGACAACAACTCACCTTGTCTCCACTGGTGCTTGTTTGAAATCAATATATCGCTCATTTGAGCTGCTGCTCATCGTGGACACACAGACGAGTTCAGGTTTAGGAGATTGTTTTCTCTGACGTATCCTGATAAAATATTGATAAATGTTTCAAAGGTCACATATTCAGCGTAACTGTTAAGTTTTAATGCTGACAAAAACTCACTTTGTTTCCTGTGCTCCTTGTTGGAAATCAATATAGCGCTCATTTGATTGGTCGCTCATCACGGACATACAGCTGGGTTCAGGTTCACGGTGGGCTGTGTGGGGTCTGTGCTGCTTCTCTGGGCTTCACACACACAGTTTTACATGTGAATAAAAATGATGGTGCAGTGATTTAAATGCAGAGCTGTAGCATGCAGAAGAGTCCCTGGCAGTAAAGAAAGTCATCTGACCTCTGAGCTTTGGTGATCTCGTCTCCACACAGAGTGGCTTTAGAGGGAGGAGGAAGCTCCACTTTGTTCTCACACAGCGACATCACAGAGTCAGCTGAAGCACAGAAACCTGCAGAAAAAAAAAAAAAAAAATTCTCCTCATTCTGAGTGTCACAAACTCACCGCTCTGAGTGAAGCAAATCAGAGTCAGAGCCCAGCAGTGAACCGTAGGCCTTACTCACCTCTACACGGAGACAATCTGCAGCTTCACAAAGCCATAAAATGAAAGTAAATAATAACCAGGAAGCGATGACGTCACTGCAGGCTTGCTACGACTCTTCTTTTATTCTTTTAAACATGTAGGAGTAATACTGCCCCCTGCTAGGCTGGAGTGGGCAGGATAGGCAGGATTTTTAAATGGGCCAAGAAATTCATCCACAAAAACATAAAAAAGAGCTACTTTACTGTGCTTCATGTCACTCCATCAAAGTTTGCTCATAACTTTAAAAATGAAACTTTTTGCCTACAGTTTATACCGAGTGCCTCAGTTTGACCAAACACTTCACAGTGTAGAAATGTTTTCCTTTTGTTCCACGTGCTACTATTCTTCTCAGTGTCCACAGCAAACTCCTGAGACGTGCATTAAAAATGAAGGCAGAAGTTACAGAGAGGGAAGGATAAAAAAAAACAAAAAACACAAAATTTAAAATTTTGCAGCCACAATAAGTCAAAGTGTGTCTCATAGTTTCACCGGTTTTATTTGTCAGCCAAGCAGACAAATTGTCTCTTCTCCTTGAACTTTGCGTCTGCCACACTAACACCAACACCCAAAACAACTAAGTGCTGTATCCTACCAGACCTGAGTCCACCATCCATCTTCATCCGCTTTATCCGAGGCCGGGTCGCGGGGGCAGCAGCCTAAGCAAAGAGGCCCAGACCTCCCTCTCCCCAGCCACCTCCTCCAGCTTATCCGGGGGAATACCAAGGCGTTCCCAGGCCAGCCGAGAGATATAATCTCTCCAGCGTGTCCTGGGTCTGCCCCGGGGCCTCCTCCCGGTGGGGCATGCCTGGAAGACCTCACCCAGGAGGCGCCCAGGGGGCATCCTTGTCAGATGCCCGAACCACCTCAGCTGGCTCCTTTTGATGTGGAGCAGCAGCGGCTCTACTCTGAGCTCCTCCCGGATGGCCGAACTTCTCACCCTATCTCTAAGGGAGAGGCCAGCCACCCTTCGGAGGAAGCTCATTTCTGCCGCTTGTATCCGCGATCTCGTCCGCTTGTATCCGCTTGACCTGAGTCCACATTAAAGGAAAATCTGTTTTTATGTTTTAAATAATATTACAGATTTGTTTTATGTGTCTCTGTGCTGTATCAGTAATAATCTCAGGCTGCCAGCCCCTATTAAAATTCTCTTGCTCGCCCCACTGCCTGTCAGCCAGGTCAAAGCAAGAATTTATGAACCCATTATTGCTTGAAGTGAGACAAATATAATAACTAATAATATAAACTAATAATATATATTTTTTAACTACATGCATGAGCACCTGTGCCACAATCAAAGCAACACTGCATGAATATTACTGGTCAAGTCAAAAACCATAAACTGTGCACAGTATTGTTTACCTGCTAACCAGAAGATTTTCCATAATAATAATTATAAAAAAAAAATAAAGTTATACTTGCAGAGTTCTTGCAGTATAACGTTAATGCAGTATTTGCTGGGATATGCAGTATTTACAAAGGTTGATTACAGTTTATTCCACAACGTGGCGATGTACCACCCTAAATGACACCAACACGCAGCTGTTTTCATTATTAGGCGTTTTTTCTTTTTCTTAAGGAGGACCTGCTGCAATAGAAACTCTGCTTGAAGTTCCAAAGAAGAACGATTTACATTAACAGTGTTCATTATTAAACTGTTATATGAAAAATGTGTAAATGACTAAAAATAAGCCTTCTTACTATTACAAATTGACTACAGAGTTTCAATTTAATTGATTCATTTTATATTATTTATACAGTGCCAAATCACAACAACAGTTGCCTCAAGGCACTTTATACTGCAAGTTAGTAATACAAAGAAAACTCGACCAATCAACCTTTGATGACAGCAGAAAGGAAAAACTGTTTTTAGCAAAAAGAAACCAGTCCCAGTATCAGGGATGGGGCAAAGGCACGCTATGGAAGAGAGCCACAGATTAAGAAGAAACACTCAGTGCATCGTGGGAAGATTTGTGCGAATAGCAGCTTCATTGAGTTGTGTTGCTAGATGCTGCCCTCTAGTGGGTGTTGTGAGCCCTTAGAGGGAAGTTGAGGTGAAAATAACAAACAGCTTTCACTGTAGTTATGAGAGTGACTTTAGAGCTCCAGGTTCTTATCAGCCGACTGCAGGCAGAAAGTCAACGTCTGTCTGCAATTCTACTGAAGCCAGAGTCTTCGCTTTAGGCCTCAGATATGACATGAAAATCAGCTCTCGTAGCACGTGTCGACATCACGGAGTATTTATCTGACAGCAGGCCCCTATCTCTAAGTAGACGAGCTGTCACATGAATGTCACAATATTCTGAGAAGAGCCAATTCAGAAAAGGAGAGCAGTGTGATTAAAAGCTTTTATTTATGTACAATAAGAAATTTCTGGCTCCCTGTCATGTGGAATGGCAGCGAACATATTTACACATATTTACATGTCAGGGTTTTAAAAACAATAAATCCTGTTATAATTTTAATCTGACTTCAGAGCGAAACGCCAAAGCTTTTAACTGCAGTCTGTGGAAAGTTTGTTAGCAGGACGTTTAATTATAAACTTGTAAAACTCACTTTTCTTAATATAAGAAACACACAAACAAATGTACAAGAGGACGTTAGTGTGCAACACTTCCAGTCCGCATGGAAGGCAACATTTCATGTTATGACTCTGTGGATGTGCCATTTTCAACATAAACAGGATTTTAAAGTACAGAACGAGAGAGCAGAAGAAAGAACATCTAAAACTCATTAAAATGATGCGTTTAATCATTTTGAATATATGTAAGGTACATCCAGTTAAATAACCTACAACCTACAACCATTAAACCTACAACTAAGAGGTAACAGAATATGTTGACCCTCTGCTTCTGTTGAAAATGTCAAACTCATCTTTTCACATTGACTTGGTCAATTGAGCTTATCTCTCTGAGATAAAGTGCAGCACATAAAGGCCAGATAAACACTTCTACATGTGGAGGTTACAAAGTGAAATAGCTAAGTTATACATGAGATCTGTTTAAAAATCTTTTAGCTGATCGTATTCAGTATGAAACATTATGCGCTGATGACTACACATGACATCTATGTCAGTTTTACTCCTCATCACCGGACTTCCTTTCTTTTCCCTACAGATCACCAATCACATGCTAACAGTGCACTACTGTGTATTAACACAATATTACTGTGCACATCACCTCCATACTGACCGTCTTTTGCACAGGAAGTTCAGACTTGCCCCAAAAACAAACCTCGGAGGAACACACAGAGTTCTTTGGTAAATATGCAGCAAAGAAAAATTCAACTTCAGTAAAATTCTGACATCAACATGTCATTCAACTATTATACTACACATAACAAGAAGATACTTTTTGATTTGACCAATAATTGCAATCCACCTGAAACTGATCCAATTTATAAAACTATAAAAATAGCTCCACACAATCACTCTGCAGCACCAACACTAAAATCTTTAATCTCTGAATAACTCAAGCAGCATTGCGTAACATCGCTGGCCACCGGTGTGATAAAACTGTCTGTGTGACTGAGCTAAAGGTTTGATCAGATGACTTACACTGTCACCAGTCTCTCGTTTCAGAGACGCTGGGCTCTATTTGCTTTGTGCTCATTTTTCCAAGTAACTCAGTGTGACTCCTTTAATTAGTAAAATGTGTCCTAAAGACCCCTGAAGAACCGCAGAGAGAGTTCATAGGTCAGGAACATGGTGGAGCTCATTGGGAAGCCTCGGATGGCGTTCACTGATGCTCCCCTGAAGAACACCTGAACATTAAAAAAAAAAAGAGAAAGTTGGAATTAAATATGTTAAACTGTCTACACGCATCTGTTATCATTCCAGATCTTTGGTGCCGTGCTGACAGGAAACATGAGTGAAGGTGAACACAGCCCACAGACCGCAGTGTTACGTTGATTTTTCTTTGGGGACGCTGGCCTGTAGTAACCCAACTCACTGACCTCTGTTCACATCAACAGTCCAGTTTACTTTCTCAGAACCTGACCCCTCCTGATTTCTGGACACTGCGATAGCTTGTCTACAGTTTACAACCTTTGACATTATGAACAGCACGAATCAGACACACAGATGCAACATTTGCTCGTCTCAGGCCAGGACACCAGCCGTGTGACAAATGCTGACCTGACATAACCCCACATAAGGTTTTCTGCAGCATGTGGCCCGTTTTATTTTATAAGAGGATTTTTTTTTTTTTACAACGAGGAGTTTCACTTTTTCATCCTGTACAGGTCTTAGCAAAATTATTAGACCACCACCCACAGTAAGGGTTGTTGCCACAGCTGCCCATAACTAACAATACTGATAATTACTGCAATTATCAGCAGTATGAATGGCCTCTTTCATGGAAATGATATTTTTAATCCTAAAATATAATTCTTGTTGTTGTCCATGTTAGGGTCTAGAAATCTCTGGAGGTGCAGGATGAGTGGAAACACCAAAGGGCAACTTTCAGCAGCATCTCTGACATCACTTTTGGTGTTGGCGGTGACAAAGGCAGGTGTAACAGGCCTTTTAAGCCTCGCTGGGGAAGAGGTTTCATGCCAAGTATCTGAAGAGAATTCTTTCCTTGTAATTTAAATATTTTCAGCAGAAACATTTGAGGAACCAAAAAGTGAACTTCAAACTTCACACATGTGAGAGCATTCAGTCTGCTTATTGGACAGATGTCTGTAGCAGCTATATGGCCCATTGATGCCCAGAGAGTGTCATGACTTACCCATGTGGAGGTGTGTCATTGAGGCTCAGTTTGGTAAGATGTTTGTAAAATTTCTTTTTTCTTTAAAATAGATATTCATACGATTTCAGGGACAACGTGTTGACCCAAGCACACACAACATTCGTTCAGGAAGCCCTGAGATCGGTACTACAGTGGACAAACTTTGTGCATCTTGGTTGATTTCTTCAGGCTGAAGCTTCAGTGTTCAAGCTGCGGTAACTTGTGTGCTCTGCTGGATCCTCAGATACAAAGCTCACATGGACACAGCTAAGTGTCCAAACACAGCGGGTAGCTGAGTTTGCATTGTGTTTTTGCTGTTTGTGTGGAGCCAGATCGAGGTGCTTAAAAACAGTGTTCTTATAGTTTTGGCTGGTTGAAGTCATTACTCACCTGTACTCCCTCTGTCTTGTAGCTGTGGATGATGCAGTGTAAAACTCCCTTGTACTTCCTCTGCAGCTGAGCATCAGCCTGCATTCGACTCTTTACCACGTCGGTTGGTGTGGCTGTGACCCAGGAAATGGACCCTGAGAAAGAGGAGAGAGCTCTGAACTTCCTGCTGATGTCATGGTGCAAGGACTCTAAAACCAGGTGGAAGTCACATATGGAACCAGACAAGGACTAGAGCAAACACATAACAAAATCTCAGACTGTGAAAGTCTCCTCTGATACTGAGATTTTGTCATTTTATTGTGTAGGTCCAAAGATCACAGTTCAGCTTCTGGAACCTTTTACTTTTGCCAAAAATGAGGATCTTTAACCTCCTAAGACCCGAACTCTTCCCCAGCATGCATTTTTAATTTCCCTTTGATATTGGGCATATTGGGGCCCGATGAATGCAAAAACAAAAAATTACCAGATTTTTTTTACCTTATTTTTGTTTTTAAGAAAAATAAGAGCCACATATGAGGATATTTGTTTAAAATTTTGATAGAACAGTAGCAGTATAATGTCCCCGTAAGTGGATATCAGGCCCATGTAGAGCAAAATTGAGTATTTTGGTCTAAATAACCCAAAATGCGATGTCCACATATGTGGACGCCAAGTCCTAGGAGGTTAAATGAGGGTTACAGGGCTCAGCACAAACTTCACAAGCTGCGTTCAGGCGCTCCTTATAACATCTGTAATAGATTCACTCACACAGCCAGCAGTAAAGAAGAAATGACTTGACATCAGCTGATACATGAGTTTAAGGGTCATTTAGACTTTAAGACATACAGAACATAATTAAAACATTTACTGTAACTCATTGTTGAAGGTTTGGAGGAAAAATCATCAGGATATTGTCCGAGTTTTAGTTCAACTACGACGGATTCAGGCCTAATGGGAGGCTAAACATGGCAGCATTTCAGATTTATGCCGTCCAGCTGACCGAAGCTCTCGCACTACATTTTTCACTCAGTCAGATGTTCACAGCTGGCTGGTCTGCATGTGGAGCCTGCTTTAACCTCTGAGACCAAACAACCCTGAAACTCCAGCCTCCGACTCCATGCATCCGTTTGCACCAGCCAGAACTTGATTGGCCTCAGATTAGGGCTGAGCCATATTATACCGTTCACGGTAATACCGGTATAATGTTAGGCAACGATAGGAAAATGAAATATTGCGATTGAATATGAGTAAAACGCGCATGCGCAGTGCCTTTGTTTTCATACGCACATGGCCGATTGTTGAGTGAAACAAATGAACCAGAATTGGTTTGTAAAAATGGTGCAACTTCAGTGATGTGGAACTGGTTTGGTGTTTGTCCGTCAGATACATGACAAAGCACATTTTTTTGCAGAACATGCAAGTGGCCGTCGTTATTGTCGGACTAAGATGCTCTTAAATCTGGGAGTAATCTGGGTCCTAAACTCCATATCCTTCAGGTCAAACGAACACTGCAGCATCACTGAGAGTTAAAAACTGTCTAAATTCTTTCATCTTTAATAAAACGATCAGCATTGCTGCTTTACCAGGTGTAACTATGAAGTTTAACTTCCAGGCATCCATGAAAACAAAATTTATTACATTTAACGGAGTTAGAAGTTAGCAGGAAGCTAGCGGAAGTTAGCTCGCTAGTTTCGCTAGCATGTTCTGACTGAGAGACTAGAGATTTCTGAAAAAAATCAAACGTACAGCTCTGCTATCACTTCCAACATAAATGAAGACAGGAAACTAAACAGCAGTGACGTTTGTAGGGTTACTGAAGTTGGGCTAGCTGGTATATAATGATGTGCTACGTGATCGCTAGCGACACAGCTATGTTAGCATAATCATAAACAGTGAAGCTGGAGGACGAACACTAACACTTTTCCACTTATAAAAGTTAACGTTAAGGTTCCTGATAGTTAGAGACAAATGCAATCGCATGGCAGGATGCTGTAAACGGACCAAACTTCAGTCAGGAGAACAACTGAGATAATCCATCCACAATACGAGGTTAGTCATTAATATACTGCAACAACATGGGAATAGAGCAGCTGCCAGAGAATTCAACATTAATGAATCAATGGTACAGAAGTGGAGGAAGCAAGAAGAATGAGTTTAATAAAGTTTGATTTATCTGACTGCTTTGTTTCGCTTAATGTGCCTTATAATCCCGTGCACCTTATGGTCCGAAAAATACGTACTGCACACTGCAGTTTAATGTTGCAAAGCACCTCTTTTTAACTTCAGTGGATATTATACATGGTTATGCTCAGGATATGTCAGCCCATTTCTACTGGAAATGCCTTTTGGTTAAACTTTCAGCAAGGAATTTGCATTTGCACTGTTACATTTTTATAAAGCTTTAATGTACATAAAAACCAGCTTCTTGTTTAAGTGAAAATAAATGGAAGGTTGTCTTTTTGCGCTAGTAATGTTGTGGAGTTGTATTTTGTCTCGCATCAATTATATCGTCAGTTATATCGTTATCGCAAATTTTCAAATATATATCGTGATAAATATTTTTGGCCATATCGCCCTGCTCTACCTCAGATGTGTTTGCTCATATTGATTTCTTGCTATTGCAGTTCTGTGGAACCTACGAATGAACAAAGATAAGGTCACATGTACAGTCTTCACCAGGTTAATAACAGCCCATGGACGTCATTCAGAGGCTGGTCAGACAAACAGAAACCACCCACAGTTCAGTCTGACCTGCTCGGATCAATACTGGCGTTTATGTACAGAGCAGAAGGTCTGGGACACAGCAGGGCAATGATGTGTGTCAGCAGAGGAAAGTAAAGGAAAAATAAAAGGTACTGAAATAACAAAGTTACCTTTAGTTCTGGATTTTATCCCCAAACCCTCTGAACCGAATAATAACAGTGACCTATTTACAGCCAAACTGTCGGAGGCAATGATTCTCCACATTTTTGAGGCCGTTCCAGTTCATACCTTGTTAACAGTGTGAACATTACAGCTTGAACCAAGTTTAAAAAGGACTTCATCACATTTTAGCCTCAGTGTCATGAATTGTTAAAATAAGACACAACTGAAGAGCTGCGACGTTTCATCAATAACTGAATCAGAGGAGCGAGGGCAAAGATAATGTGCAACTTTAGTTTTTTTGGACATTGAATAGATGCTACAGTGACTTAATTATGTAAAAGTATTGATCAATAAGTATCAATAATAGCACTGATCTGACCCCAAACTAAAAATATCTCAGACTTTATGTGTTTTCTGTCATTTTATATAAGAAAAGAAAATGGTGTCAGCTGTTGTTCTACAGTACAGTTTCATCCGAGTCTATCAGTTCATAAACAACATAACAACAACTGTCAAGAATCGGCTTCTACAACGCTGATAGGATAGAAGGGAAAAAAAACAAAAAACAAAAGTAACATACTCAAAGATTTATCACTTAATGGAATTACTGGTTTGTCCGTGCTCTAGTCCCATCTGACAGACCAAGAGTGATTTCTGACCATTGTTCAGAAGTTCTTGATTTCTTGCCAAATTCCTTGTAATTGGGGGTTACTGCTGGCTCTGGTTGTGCAACAGTTTGGTTTAATCCCGACTGGCATCAGCGGAGGAGTTTACTTATATCTTATTAATAATTAACTTTTATTATCTCTGTGAGGTTCTGCCAGTGTAACTGATACAAGTAGGGAAATATAAAGAGGTTTTAGCAAAAATACGAAAGAAGAAAACCTTAAGATCTATTCGCTTTTATTCTCAAATGTTCAGCTGACATCGACCCCCTCTGGTTGATTACTAACAGAAGGACAGCTCTGAAGAACAAGGTTATGTTAAGGTTAAGGCAGACACTTCAGAGTGTGTGAAGGTCTCAAAACATTTTCAAACGTGTTGGACTCTGAAATAAAACCTTAAATAAATAACAAAGGTCTTAATAGCAGGTTTAACTGTGCTCTGACTGTGCACCTAAGGCTCGTCTAATTCTTCTACCGCTGCAGCGCTATCACATCCAGTCCAGTCAGGCTCACATTGAAACTGCCACTTCAATCAGAAACACGCACTTCATTAACCTCCATGTTAGCACTGACTCAACACGCTGCTCTTCAGGACAGCGTTGCCACGCCCCTCGTTAAAGGGTCAGAACTGCTGCATTGATATCACAGGTTAATGTTAGCTACTGTGTGTCCTAACAAAGTCATCAGCTTCCTCCCAAAGACCCAGAATCAGCACTTTGAGTACGGCCAGCTGTCTGTTCACTCCTTTTCTCCTTTGTTGTTAATTTGGTGCACAGTGACCCATCACCCAGCTCAGCGGTGAGTGGACGGGGAAAGAACTTCCACAAATGTTTTCCTGTACATCTGACTCACAGGTCTGTGGCAACAGGCATAAATTTAACTGACGTCTAAAGTCACCAATAACTCAAACAACGCTAATGACACTGAAAATATCATAGGAAACTTTGTTTTGGTGACATTTACCTGCCAGTCCTCCTGCCAGCCAGATGGAACATGGATGTGGGCTCGAAGTGTTGTCCGGCCTCAGCAGGTCGCAGAAGATGGCGTAAGGGATGAAGTAGAGCGTGTATCCGGGTACGTCCCTCAGGATCATGGCTCCGGCTCCTCTGTACAGGCCCTGGAGGCCCTCGGTCTGCAGGATGCTGCTGATGCAGTGGATGGGCCCTCGGTACAGCTGCTGCTGGCTGAGAATGCTGACGGAGCGCAGACGGATGTTGGTGCCATTCGACATGTTGCCCGCAAGGTGGAGGTTCTCTGTTTAAAAACCAAAAATATATGAGAGTGAAGTCAGTGAGCAGGTTAGTTAGGGATCTGCTTCATCCAGTTTGTTCTCCTCTCCGTGTCCTCGTCTCTGGGAACTTTAAGCAAAGGTGTTTCAACTTCAGGGGATTTTCAGTCTCAGCAGAACGTTTTTCAAACTTTTTTGTTTCTTTCTCACAGTCCAAAAACGTTGGTGTCTGAAACACAGGAAGGTGCTCGAGTCTTTCCATATCACGTGGAAAAGAACCAACCGACAAACACAATACCATTAATATGTAGCAGTCCTTTTACATTAGAGTGAAATGACTTTCTGTTTTAGTGACGGTGATCATACCAAATATTGGGCTTAGTAAGTCAGTCATGCTAATCACAGTATGTAATGCTGAGTTTACAGTGAAATGGTTTCCTGATCCTGGCTGAACTCGCTGACACTTTGCTCCATCATAAAAGAGTCGGCTCTATTCAAAGTCAAGTCCAAAGTATCACTGAGGAAGATAATGAAAGAAATGTGACTAATCCCAGTGACCGGTGGAAGATGTATGAGCCTGCCAAACACTGTAAACATGTAGAAAGCTATAAATGTCTGACTGGAATCCCTCTGTGCTCGGCTTTATTATTTTATTGTTTAACAGAAAGACGCAGGCCAGAAATCACAAGACCAAGAAACAATATAACGACAGAGTTTGTATTCATGCAAGAATGGGTTCCTAACTGTGGAGAAAATTGACATTTAATCCTTAAATCCATCATTCAAAGGTCCTAAAAATGCTACAAACACAGAAAAATTTGATTTTGTTAGAAAAGAAAAATCTTTGTAGACAATATGACAGCACACTTAAAGACCAGGACCCTCTACCAGCACTGCATCGGTGCATATGAGGGATAAAGGGTTAATAAGTAGAACTGAAGGGAAACTGTGTTCTTCTAATGGCTCAGCTCCTCAGATCTCTTTTAGATGAACAGTTACCTCTCTGGCAGCTGTTTATGGCCACTTTCATATTAAACGTTCTTTATTAATATTTACCATATGCTGTCAAACATCCTGATACACTTATAGATGCTGTAATGTTATTCTGTGTATCAGTGAATATCAGCATGTAGTTATAGAAAAGATGACACGAGCAGAAATGTTTTCTGAAGCATGTTTTGATGTCTGTGTCATCAGGACTTATTCATATTGAGTTCTGAGGCTATGTTACCGTGACACTCAGTCTAGATAGGTCTTGCTCGATTTAGATAATAAATAAAAAAGTAAACTATTTAAAAAAAAAAATAAAAAAAAAAAGTACTCCTACTGGCAACAATTCTGCAACCAGCTGGTGAAGTGTGACTATCAAAGACAGCAGCTCGGCGAGAACTTTGTATCCCCAAAAGCTCATGATGTAATAAGAAGGAAACATTGCAGAACAGAAGCTGGAGCTGTGTCAGCATTTCATGTATTAATGTCATCTGATGAACGCCACATGGCAGTTTGTGGCTGGCCGGTAATTAACGAGCAGAAAGGGCACAGCTTAACTCTCTTTGATGCGATCCTTAGTCAACTTGTTCTTTTTGAAATTTTAGAAAAGAACGAGGATTAAAAACAAAGCCATTATTTGAGCTTCCTCTGACAGAGGTGTATTTGGGACAAAGTTGTTACTATGCTGACAAGGCTGCTTTTTATCTGGGCGTGTGCTGTCTATGTGCCAAAATCTTAGAGAAGTTAAAAAAAGCAAAACTTTTTTTTCAAGGCTAAGATACAAAAACAAAAGGTCCCGACCTGAAAAAAGTGATCCTCACGTTACCTGCTAGAACCATCTGCGTTTGCATTTGGAGTCTGATCTTAACCAAATCCACTGGAGCTCCCAGGCTCACAGACATCAGTCCGGTCAGCATGCTGGCCATGGTCAGGTCCAACATGCTGCAGGGATGCTGCCCGTCACCATAGCGATAATTGCTTATGAGTCTTTGAGTGTTACTGAAGAAGCCAAACACGGCCGAGTTGTAGACCGTGATGCTGGCCAGGGGGAAAGACATGCCCTTAAAGAATCCTGTGACCTGAAAAAGAGTCGAGAGGGAAGCAAGAAGGTCAGCACAACATGTGAAAAAAACATACATATGCACGGGTAAAAGCAGGAAAAGTGTGGAGGGAACAGTAAAGAACTGTAAGTGAGGCGTTTACACTGATGACATGCACAGAATTAAATACGGGGTGCAGCTGCTGCCAAACAGTATGGAAACCTTTCCTCGGGCCAACCTGAGGAGGCGGTTACAGTCTGGGGAGACATATGCTGGGAATAAAACATAGCTGAATAAATCATGTGACCTCTGAGAGCAGCAGGCCTGTGATTTGTAACGGACACACCGAAAACTTCTTATCATATGACACCCCAAAGAGATAAAACCGATAGATGCAGCTTAAATTCAACCTTTTGCACATATTTAGCCTCACCTAAATGTATTATTTTTCTGTAAAATAAGCTGCTATCATCACTCAGCTGGTTTAAGCTTTTCATGGTGGTGGTAAACAAAAGGTCCAGCTTAAAGCATCCAGCTGGGAAACTGGGTCACAGGAGAAATAAAGCGACTGGGAGCTGTGGAAACAACTTAAAGCGACAGAATGACTGTGGATGTTTGTATATTGTGCAGTGCTGGCTCTGAGCTGAACGTGGTTTTAGGTCCAATCTATAATGAAATGATTAACTCGATCTTAGGCTCTGAAGGACCACATTTTGTGTCCAGATCCTATAAATCTGTCCTAACCCTGGCTCTGAGGGACTCTGATGTACTGACTGGAGTTGTGTGGAAAAACACTGGGACAGATACAATATATCCAAGTTTCTGATTGCTGCCCAGCATTTGTACTGCCATAGCTTCAGCCAAGTTAAAACACACAACAGAGCCAACAAAGCATTTGGTTAAATATACTGCAGGGTGAATGAAAAGCATATTTTCAAAGCATGTCAGATAACTTATTACCGTTTATACTGTTTGGAGCGATGCAGAAATGGAGGAAAGAGAAGAAGTTTGAATGTTTACCGTTTCCTTCCTGTAGATGGTGAGGATGCAGTGCAGAGTGTTTTTGTAGCCATTCCCTGCCTGGAGCCGAGTCTGAAACAGTGCCACTGACTTTATTCAAACAAGCAATTTCCATATGAGGAATAAATAAAGTTGATTTGGGGGTTTTTTCCCCCCAAATGTGAAACATAGGTTTTCAGATTTCTTATTTTGGAGTTTGTTGGACAAAAATATTCAGGCTTTTCACCTTGGAGTCATTGCACACATCTCTGACTAAAGACAGTTCATAACACTCACACTGGTTTTGAGCACATTCAGATCATTTCTGATAAATGCTTCCTTCCTTAGCTGCTACACATACTAAATTATTTTTGGCAAAAGAAATATGTGACATCAAAACATGAATTCAATTATAATTATAGGGAAAAAACTGACTCTGTGTGTCATACAAACACAGATCCTGATTTGTAGGATGGATAAGGACGTAAATAAAAAAAAAAAGTGGCCCAAAAGAATGTGCAACAGAGTGTATATGACTTGATGAGCTGCAGGCTTGATCATTTTTATAACAGCTATAACACAAAAGTGGAGGAATGCTGTAGTAAAATGATTCCAGAGGTCTGACATACCTTTACTGTATCCAGCGGATGGCCAACAACCACACTGGAAGCTCCTGCAGCCAAAACAGAAAGAAAAGAGGAATGAAGCACAAAATGCCAGAGAGAGAAAAACAGAGACAACTTTCCACAAAAATCTCAAGAGTTTTACTCATAACCAACATGCTGAAAGGCAACGTGTCTCAGCCAAAGACTAAAGCGTCTTAAAATGTTTTTACTGCAGGACATCAGACCTGCATGTTTGCAGTCAGGGCTTAAAGTTTACTTCAAATGAGCAGCCATCACAGGGGGGAACGCGAGCTACTGTGTGTGTGCATGAGTGGGTATCAAACACACACAACATACATGCCACAGGATCTCGCTCAGTTGTTGCCCAGATAAGAACCAGGAGTGCATGGTCATCAGGACATGAATATTGTATCAATGCAAGGACACCAAATATCAAATAAAAAAAACAAGAGGGTTTGCTGCACGCACCGCCATCAGGAAGCAGAGCAAACGTAACATTACATCAAAACCATCCACACACAGCTTGATGAAGGTACCTCATGATTATTCCACCTTCTGTGACCAACTGGAGTGTGGAGACTAAATAATTACCCACAGCTTGAAGGTGTTGCACACTGAGCAAGACTTAGATCACATGGTGACGGCACAGGTGGGCCGATAGAAGCAAACCTTTCTGCAAACAGTCACAGTCTGACTGGATTTTTAAAGGTTTTTAAATAACTTCTGTCTAATTTATGAATGCAAACAGACTGACAGCATGCTGCCACCAATCTGAAAGAGTCTTTATCATCGAGCACAACTTCAGGGGACTAGACTCAACTGGCTGCCAGCTGCTGGTATTCTGGTTATACTGCTATAGAACTGGAAGGTTGGTCGACATATTGCAAATATTAAAAATCACAGTGATTTCATATTGAATTGGTGCTTTGTTAGCAGTGTAACCCAGCAAAATTTATATATTTAAAAAAAAAAACCAAAAAACGTCAGTTCACCTTTGCTGTGAAGGCAGTGAAACACAAAGTGAAGCTGCAAATGAGGCCGGACATGTTTCTTAACATTTTATAACATTCAGGGAAATCTGTGAGATATTCTTTAAGGTCTATTTCTAGCTTTCTATTCTTCTTCTTTCTTTCTTTTTAAATTTAAAGTTAACTGCATTTTGCAAAGCAGCCAAAAAACGTGAAATCTTGGTGATGACAGAAAAATGCGCCCCTGGACACTGTAGTTTAAAATCAGATTAGAAGTCCTGCACTTGAACCAAACTTGTGAGGTTTTTCTGAGTTCATCATCGGCCTCCAAAAAGCTTTTATTGATAGGATCACTGCTATTGCTTCAGCTGAACATTTGGAGAAAAGAAGTAGGTCTACATAGATTTCCGGCATCAGCTCGTTGTGTAATCTTTTCTTTGTGACTGCAAAAGCTCCACGGCTGTGACTCTGACATCATAATAATGCAATGTCCAACTGGCAGCATGGCTTCACATTGCAAAATAAAGCTTATCAAAATTAATTAATAAGCCCAGAGACTGTCTTAGCTTTTCAGCTGGAGCTAGTTCCCATCCAAACCAGACTTGCTGAATATTAACAATGTCAGGGTTTTTCTGTGTTTTGTATTACAGCTGGGATTTAGAATATCACTATATGACAGCTTAAACATAATGTGTTTTTGCTTTTTTGTTTTAATTTGTTTTACATCTTTTTATCATTTCAGTTTCATAGAATAATTAAAATTAATAAAGCCCCTAGCGGCTAGCCCTGACACAGCACGCATTAAGCTTGGAAAAGGCGAATTTTTGTCCTTAGAATAAAAACGTGCGCAGACTGAATCCTGTAGACTGACCGAGGGGAGAGAGCAATCAGCGAGCAGCTTTCCGAGTAAACGGAGGCGGTGAGCCTGCGTTGCAGTGACACTGTGGGAACATGAGAGGTTCGGGTGGGGGTGGGAGTCTGCGCAGAGCCTCCACTGTTTATCTGGATGAGGATGCACGCACATGACGTTTTTTCCCCTGATAAACGTGTTTTTACAGTACAACAACGGAGGATTGTGCGTATCTGTGGAGCTCTGTGTGAAGCTCACTGGACCCAAACAAACGCGCTGTTGAGCCTCCCTCGCACCTCCCACCCATGCCATCTTCAGTTCGCCCCCACACACCCCACAAAGATCCACTGAAAACACGCATTGACGGAGTGTCTGACTGAGGAACTCACCTGCAATCCATCCTGCGATGAAATCATCCACGCGGAAACTTTTGGAGGTCTGCATCTTCCACTCGGAGCTGCTCTGCGCGCCCCACGCCAGTAATCTCACAGTCTGCGCGCTCTCCACGGGACAGAACACTTACTGCTGCCGGTGGCTCCCGCTGATCACGTATCGGCCCAAACTTTTTTCACAAGAAGGCAAAAAAACGGCTTATAGAAGGTAACTCCGGGAGTTGTCACTAGCAACCAATCAGAGCAAAGCCTGAATCTGTGAGGCCGTTCTGCTGGCCAATCAGGAGTGAGCTATCCAAAGCTATGCGGCCTATAGAGAGGCCGGGATGGAAATGAGCCATGAGGAAAGCTGAGCAGAAAAACAGATACTGCTGCACATTTTGACCTTTCTCCTACTTCACTTCAGCCTGCCCAATAAGAGTAAAACTCTTAAAGACCGACAAGAAAAAGTAACTTCCTGTATGTGCTGTAAAATGATCATCATGGATGTAATTAAAGCAGCTTGTGCTTATATTGATCTTCTATACACTTCATATATATGAATGGTGGAGTGTGATCAGTGACACAGCTGTGAAACAGAGCTGCACTCAAACAGACTGAGCTGGATAAAAATTGTCTGCTGAAGGGAAAAGTAAAAAAAAAAAAAAAAAAAACAATAATAAAGAGAACATCACAGAAGGTGTTTGATGAAGATCTGATTTCTTTAACAACAAGAAGGGTTACAACAGGGGTGGGGAATTCCAGCCCTCAAGGGCCGGTGACGTGCAGGTTTTAGATCACCCTGGTTCAACACACCTGAATCAAATAATTAGTTCATTACAAGACCTTTGGAGAACTTTAAGACATGTTGAGGAGGTAATTTGGCCATTTAAATGAGCGGTGCTGGATCAAGGACACATCTAAAACCTGCAGGACACCGGCCATTTGAGGCCTGGAGTTTCCCCACCCCTGGGTTACAAATTGAAGACTGCAGTTACACAAACTGCTTATAAATATGATTTCAGTTTTATTTTTGTGGCATCAACAACAGTCACCTCGATGAACTTTATACTATAAGGTAAGGATCCTCAAATCATATAACAATACATTGACCTCAAGACGTCACATGATACGGTGGGGCTAGGTTTCACAGCAGGCTCATCCTTGGCTGATTGTGACCAGTGCTGGGGAGTAACGGAATACATGTACCGCTGTTACGTATTTAAAATACAAAATATGAATAACTGTATTCCGTTACAGTTACCATTTAAAAAGGTGGTATTCAGAACACAGTTACCTGTTTGTCCTATGTTAGGCTGTGCCCTCTCTATTTTTGGTAATTTCACGCCGGTGGAAACCTAAACAAAACGCGCATTAAGAGGGTCTAATGCCTGGGTCTCAATCTCGCGGCCCATGTCACCTCTATTTGTAGCCCACAAAATGACATGAAGAAATATAAAAAAAAAATATTCACAAAAATAATTTAATAAGAAGGTAATAGGCAGAGTGTTACAGGCATAGCCCTAAAGAATGTAGCCTCATAGGCAGTGTAGTCCGTGCTGCATGGAGAATGGACTGCCGTACCCGTTACGTGTCTGTGAGCGCGAGGAGAGAGAAAAAGGACAGTGGAAAAATACGAGTTGTCACCGGGCCTGACGCGCCCAGTTGTATGTAAGCTATAAAGACTCGATGGACTGTACAGTTTGTTCGTGTTTTCCTCCGAAACAATAAGTTCCATTGGAGCAGCCTTTCAACGCCTCTCTCTGTCTCTCGCTAGCAAATTTGACCCAGACAACAAAGTAAAGCTAGTTTTCAGCTACAACCCGACGTATTAGCTAGAGGTCACTTTACGGTTTTACGCCTTTACGGTTTGGAGCAGTGGACCTGTTTTATATACGCGCGGAATAGTTTTCTATACGAGATCGCTGCAGAAAGTGCAGCCTCCACCCTACTGTTGCTCATTTTATATTAAAATTTAAAACTCTAGTTGGCATTGGTATGGCAAGTAACCTTCAGTAATAGTAATAAATCACACAGCAATAGTACATTCATGTAGTTGTAAAAAGCATGATAATATATTAAGTAATCCAAAGTATTCACAATACGTTACTCTCACTTAGTAACGCAACGGAATGCCTTGCAAAAATACATTTTGGGGCATGTATTCTGTAATCTGTAGTGGAATAAATTTTAAAAGTAACCTTCCCAACACTGATTGTGACCTACACCCGTTTTCACACCTTGGCTTGTGTGATTAAGTAAAGGATCAACAGGGGGTTCATGACCCCCTTGGGGGACACTACGACTTAAATCTGGGACTCTCCACCATTTGACCTTAGAACTGAAGAAGCTTCTCAGATGAGAGGTCTTCAAGCAACTTAAAGAAGTCCAGACGCTTTTCTTTCCAAGCTCTTTAGACAACAACACAGAGCTATTCAAAAGGTGCAATGCTGAATGCACAACGTATTAAAAAAACGGACTTATATCGCATAGGCCACAAAACATCTCAGTTCAGATAAAAGTGAAAATGTATTCGGCCCTGAAAATCTTAGAAATATGGTATCTAACCAGATGCTTAATCCAGATGATAGCTTGACCTCCAGCAACACTGTGAGGAACCTCAGAGTCCTTTCTGAGCAGGATATGTCCTTCAATGCACATATTATTCAAATATGTAGGACTGCTTTCTTCTATTTGTGCGATATCTCTGAAATGAGAAACATCCTGTGTCATAGTGATGCTGAAAAACTAGTTCATGCATTTAGTACTACTTTACAGTATTCCAGCGTTTACATGATAATGGCCATCTCTGAATTGAGGAGAAGGGAAATCTGTCACGAACTTACAATGCTGTGATTATAGCCAGCTCTCTGGGAATGTTATTCATGGTTGCTAATCAATGGTCACAACAATTTGCATATTAATGACCATGAAACTTGACCTTTAGTCATGGTGCTGGTGTCAGCCGTTATGCAGAAGCATTGTTTATAAGGTTGGGGAAACCTGCAGTCAGCTGACTGATGAAGTCACTCAGATGTTTCTTCCACTGAAAATCCAACATCCAGATGAGCAGAAACAACTTCCTGTGTATTGTAACTCAATGTTATAAGGTCACTCCCATATTATCTCTCATATTAGCTTCTTTTCATTGGTTCCTTGCTACATTCAGAACTGAGTTCAAAATCCTTCTCCTATAATTCAGAATCCTGAATTATCCTAACAGAGCTCTTCACTCTCGCACTGCAGGCTTACTTGTTGTTCCCAGAGTATTTAAAAGTAGAA